AGGCAACCTGGGTCAGCCAGCCAGCCACTCCATCCAGGTGTCTCCTCTTCCCATGGATGGGCCACCTCTCCCCAGACCTTTCTATATTCTATGAGCAGACCATCCCCAAATCTGAAACTTGGTTGTCAAGACTGAAAAGTATATGAAGCAAGGATAGGGAAACAACTGTTTTCTTCATAACTAAAACAGAATGCAGACCTTGATGGCAGGTCAGGCCCCTCCTCCCCCTCAGTGGTGGCAAATAACAGTCAAACAGCACCAGGTAATAGCTTGACATCATCTTTTACACATGTGAAAAAGGATCATACTGCATTCAAAGACCACATGAATGTGCCAATCCAAAATGGATGAAGGTACAAGTTGTATGAAAATTGAGAATTTTCACTCAACATCACTCACTATCAGGGAAATGCAAATCAAAACCACAATGAAAGTGGTCCACTTTCTTACATCATACACAGAAATAAATTCAAAAGGGATGAAAGACCTAAATGTGAGACAGGAAACCATCAAAATTCTAGAAGGGAACACAGACAGGAACCTCTTTGACATTAGTTATAGCAACTTCTTACTAGACACTTCTCTGGAGGCAAGGGAAACAAAAGCAAAAATAAACTATTGGGACTTCATCAAGATAAAAGCTTCTGCATGGTGAAGGAAACAATCAACAACACTAAAAGGCAAACTTCAGAATGGGAGAAGATACTTGGAAATGACATATCTGATAAAGGCTCAGTATCAAAAATCTTTATAGAACTTATCAAACTCAACACCCAAAAAACAAATAATCCATTTAAGAAATGGGCAGAAGACACAAAGAGACATTTTTCCAAAGAAGACATACAGACGGCTAACAGACACATGGAAAGATGCTCAACATCACTCATCATCAGGGAAATACAAATCAAAACTACAATGAGATACCACCTCACACCTGTCAGAATGGCTAAAATTAACAACACAGGAAACAACAGGTGTTGGCGAGGATGCAGAGAAAGGGGCACCCTCCTACACTGTTGGTGGAAATGCAAACTGATGCAGCCACTCTGGAAAACAGTATGGAAGTTCCTCATAACGTTAAAAATAGAACTACCCCGTGACCCAGCAATTGCACTACTAGGTATTTACCCAAAAGACACAAAAATACTGATTCAAAGAACACATGCACCCCGATGTTTATAGCAGCATTATCAACAATAGCCAATTATGGGAAGAGCCCATGCCCATTGACTGACAAATGGACACAGAAGATATGGCAAATTATATATATATATATATGAATATTACTCGGCCATCAAAAAAATGAAATCTGCCATTTGCAATGATGTGGATGGAGCCAGAGTGTATTATGCTAAGCAAAATAAGTCAGTCAGACAAAGAAAATACCATATGATTTCACTCATATGTGGAATTTAAGAAACAAAATAGATGAACATAGGGGGGATAAAAAAGGAGAGAGGCAAATCATAAAACAGATTCTTAACTATAGAGAACAAACTGAGGGTTGCTGGTGGGAAGGTGGGCAGGGGAATGGGTTAAATAGGTGATGGATATTAAGGAGGGCACTTGTGATGAGCACTGGGTGTCATATGTAAGTGATGAATCACTAAGTTCTACTTCTGAAACTAATATTATACCATATGTTAACTGGAATTTAAATAAAATCTTTAAATAAAAAATAAAGCCACAATGAGATGCTCACACCTGTCACCATGGCTAAAATCAAAAACAAAAGAAGCAAATGTTGGTGAGTATGTGGAGAAAAAGAAACCCTCATGCACTGTTGGTGGGAATGCAAACTGGTGCAGCCACTGTGGAAAAGAGTATGAGTGATGGGGGGGTGGGAGGTATGGGGTGGCTGGGTGATAGACATTGGGGAGGGTATGTGCTACGGTGAGCTCTGTGAATTGTGTAAGACTATTGAATCACAGACTTGTACCTCTGAAACAAATAATACATTATATGTTAAAAGAAGAAGAAGAAGAAGAAGAAGAAGAAGAAGAAGAAGAAGAAGAAGATAACAGGAAGGGAAGAATGAAGGGGGGGAAATTGGAGGGGGAGATGAACCATGAGAGACTATGGACTCTGAAAAACAAACTGAGGGTTCCAGAGGGGAGGGGGGTGGAGGGATGGGTTAGCCTGGTGATGGGTATTAAAGAGGGCACGTACTGCATGGAGCACTGGGTGTTATACGCAAACAATGAATCATGGAACACTACATCAAGAACTAATGATGTAATGCATGGTGATTAACATAACATAATAAAAAAAAAAGGAAAAAAAATTAAAAGTAAAACTACCATATGATCCAGTAATTGCTCTACTGGGTATTTACCAAAGAATATGAAAACGCTAATTCAAAAGGGTATATGCACCTCTATGTTTATTGCAGGATCACTTACAATAGCCAAAGTATGGAAACAGCTCAACAGTCCATTGATAGATGAATGGATAAAGAAGATGTGGTATATATATACAATTTCTATACAGCCATAGAAAAGAATGAAATCTTGCCATTTGCAACAACATGGTTGGAGCTAGAGAGTATAATGCTAAGCAAAATAAGCCAGTCAGAGAAAGACAAAGACCATATGATTTCACTCATATGTGGAATTTAAGAAACAAAACAAAGGGAAAAAAAAGAAAAACTAAAAAATAGACTCTTAACTGAAGAGAATAGATGATTACCAGAGGGGAGGGGGACAGAGGGGAATGGGTGAAATAGGGGAAGGGGATTAAAGCGAACACTTATCTTGATGAACACTGAGTAATGTACAGAATTGTTGAATCACTATATTGTACACCTGAAACTAATTTAACACTGTATATTAACTATACTGGAATTAAGATAAAATTTTTAAAAAGAAAATTGAAAAAATACAAACCAAAGATAATTGCTACTTTACTTTTCTGTTTTCCTCTTCTTTTTTTTTTCTTTTTCCTTTTCCTTCTTTTTATTGTCTATGACAAAGTTACTTTGTGCCTTACATAAGCAACCAGTTGTAGTATTATGACTAGTTTGGGGAGATATTCTTTACAAAATGGAGACTCTGGCTGCCCTTGGGTATTTGAAGAGCCAAGACAGAAACAAAGAATAAATAGAGAAAATGGGCAGGGGACCTGAATAGACATTTTTCCAAAGAAGACATGCAGATAGCCAACAGACACATGAAAATATATTCAACATCACTAATCACCAGGGAAATAGAAATCAGACCACAATGAGATACCACCTCGTACCTGTCAGAATGGCTATTATCAAAAAGACAAAAAATGCCAAGTGTTGGTGAGGATGTGGAGAAAAGAGAACAATTGTGCACTGTTGGTGGGAATGTAAATTGGTTCAGCCACTATAGAAAACAGTGTGGCAGTTCCTCAAAGAATTAAAAACAGAACTACCATATGATCCAGCTGGGCATCTATATGAAGAAAACAGAAACACCAATTCAAAAAAAAATACATACCCCTGTGTTCATCGCAGCATTATTTACAATAGCCAAGATACAGAACAAACTAAGTGTTCACCAATGGATAAATGTGTAAAGATGTGGTGTATATATACAATGGAATGTTAGTCAGCCACAAAAATATGAAATCTTGCCACTTGCAACAATATGAATGGATCTTGAGGGCATTATGCTAAGTGAATAATAAGTGAAACAGAGAAAAACAAATACTGTATGATTTCACTTATATGTAAACTCTAAAAAACAAAACAAATGAACAAATAGAACAAAACTCGTAGATACAAGGAACAGATTGGTTGTTGCCTGAGAGGAGGGGGGATAAAGGAGTGAGTGAAATGAGTGAAGGGGATCAAGAGGTACAAACTCCCAGTCATAAAATAAAAATTCATAGGAATGTCATGTACAGCATGGTGACTATCGTCACATATTGTGTTTCATATTTGAAAGCTGCTAAAAGAGTAGATCTTAAAAGTTCTCATCATATGTGTCTGCGAGAAAAACTTTCTCAAACATACTAATTTTGTCTTAAGCTAATTTCAAAAAAGGATCCATACTGGGGTGCATGGGTGGCTCTGTCAGTTAAGTGTCCGACTCTCGATCTCAGCTCAGGTCTTGAGCTCAGGTCTTGATCTCAGGGTCGTGAGTTCAAGCCCCACATTGGGCTCCATGCTGGGCATAGAGTCTACTTAAAAAAAAATTTGAAAAGGATCCATACTAAGAAGGGAGGACTTGTATGAATTGTGGAAGTAGTTAAGAAATGCCATGCTTCAGAGCATTCAGGGGAGTAAAGAAGAACTGATAGTTGGTGGTGATGGTTCCATGGGTGTATACATATGTCCAGACTCATCAAATTGTGTACATTAAATCTGTGCAGTTTTGGGATATCAATGATACCACAATAAAGCTGGTATGGGGTTGGGGGTTTTTTTGTTTGTTTTTTATTTTATTTTATTTATTTATTTGAGAGAGAGAGTGAGCGAGAGAGAAAGAGAGCACAAGCCAGGGGAGAGGCAGAGGGAGAGGAAGAAGCAGGCTCCCCACTGAGCAGGGAGCCCGACGTGGGGCTCGATCCCAGGACCCCGAGATCATGACCTGAGCCGGAGGCAGATGCTTAACGACTGAGCCACTCAGGCACGCCTAAAGCTGGGTTTTTTAAAGGAAAAAAAATGTTCTCATCATAAGAAAAAAAGATGTTATAACTATGTATGATGACGGATGTTAATGAGACTTACCGTGGTGATCATTTCACAAAGTATACAAAAATCAAATCATTATGTTGTACACCTGAAACTAATAGAATATTAAATGTCAATTATACTTCAATATAAAAAAATATAGGGGGAGTTGTAGTATCTTTTCTTCTAGGGAAGAAAAACAGTGATAGCATATGGCCTCAATGTGTTAATTAACCCAATTGTGGTAATCATTTTACAGAACATACATATGTCAAATCATCATGTTTGTACAATTTAAAACATATAATTTTATTTGTCAATTATATCTCAATAAAGCTGAAAATTAAGAAAAAAAGAAGTACTCACTTCAGCAACACATACACTAAAATTGGAAGGATACAGAGATTAGCATGGCCTCTGCATAAGGATGACACGTGAATTCATGAACCATTCCACATTTTTTAAATAAGTCATGGGATATAAGGTAAGCATGGTGACTATAGCTAGTAATAGTGTATATTTGCAGGTTGCTAAGAGAGTAGATTTTAAAAGTTCTTATCACAAGAAAAAATTTTGTAACTATGTGTGACAATGGATGCTAACTAGACTTATTGTGGTGATAATATCACAATATATTAAAAATATCAAATCATTATGTTGTACACCTGAGACTAATATGACGTTATATGTCAGTTATGTCTCAATATAAAATAAAAATAAATAAGTAAGAATATGGTCTCATAAAGTTAAAACCCAGAGCATAAAGCTGACATCAGAAAAATCAGTCTCCACCCGTGTAAAAGTCATTATTATAAGCTCCTCCCAGCTCCTGCTTTTCTCATTCACATCCACTCATTCCATGCACATCACACACACAAACACCAACTTAGGAGCCAGAGCTAAAGAGAAATGAAGGTCCTGCCTCAGGTTAGGACCATGAGTCAGAATGAACTGGGCTCTGGCCCTAACTCTGCCACCTCACCGATGAGTTCCCAGACGTGCCTAAATTTCCATTTCCTCAGCTAGCAAGTGAAAAGAATAGGTCCCACCTTAGAGTAGTGAGGATTATTTTGGGTAAGGCATTGAAGAACTCGGCATAGTACCTGGCATGTTAATTACCAGTTCTCATTAAATGACGGCCGTTAGACATACTTACATAATTAGTTCTGAAAAAGAAGTAAACTTAGAGTCACATCAATGACTTTTATTTAAAATTATTTGCAAGGTTGATGCGGAAGAAGAGTTAGCGAAGATGGGTGGGTGGCTCTTTAAATATCTTTCTTTACATTTTTAAGAACAACTTATTCTATTAAAATACCTTTCATTCTCCTTAGTCCCATAAAAGGACAACAGAGCAGATCACACTCTCAACTAAGACATCAGAAGCAGTCAGAGTCGGGTATGAGTCACGTGGGGGAGCAGCGGCCCTGACCGCCCCCTGCAGTCACTCAGCCTCTGCGGGCACTCCTTCACAGCTACCACCACCTGGCCTGGCGTACTGGGGCCCGAAAACCACAGTGGCATCCGGAGACATGATGTGGAAACAAAATACTATTTGGGATCTTTTTCAAGCAAGGGTGGCATGTATGCTTCTCCATGTTCTTCCTTCTTAGGGTTCCTTCTTTCCTCCACTTTCTTTCGAGATTTCATCTCCATCCTCAGGCATTCCCTTTTGCTTCTCTCCTTTCTGCTCTCAGGTCCCTGAAAGAGAAAGTTCAGAAAAAGGGTAGAAATGTGCCGACAGCTGACAATGAGCCACATTTCTCCTAACTCTTGGAAATGAACAAAGCCCTGGTCATTTAGTAGATGTCCACATCTTAGCTTCTCATAATAAATTAGCAGAAGCCCAAGGGTGTTGCTAAAGGTTTCAGTCATAAATAAAATGAATGGGGCTTGGGTGTCAGCTGATGATCTATGGAGGAAACTCAACCTGTACACAACTCTGAGCTATAGAGGGATGTGTTTCACATTACGATATAATTAATAGTCTCCTGGTGCTTTCCGAAAAGGAATACCGCAAGTGAATCATACACGGAATGATTCTAACCTCCCAGTGTCTACTTCTTTAAATTACATTAACAGTAGGGTTTGTGTTAAGTTCTAATGTGAGGACTATGTAAAGAATGAAGTGTTAAGGAAATGACATCCAGGCACATTAACATTCGCCAGCTGGTTGCCCAGGGGTCCACATTCACTGATTTATTGAACACATACTACTGTTCTAAGATCAGGAGATATAGCACTAACTAAAGAAACCCTACTTCTTCGATATTACCCCTAGGTACAGCATGACAATCAATAAGCCTAAAAAGAAACAAGAAGATCACAGATAGTGATAATTGCAATGATAATGAGCAAACAGGGTGGCATGATAAGGAAGTATGGGGTGGGAAGGGGGAAGGCTTCTTCGTTTCCATGGTCAAGGAGCGTCTTTCGAAGGACTTACTGACTAAAGAATGGCATTGATAAATGTGGCGATGGCATCTACCTATACTTCTATTTTTAAAAATAAATAACATCATGACTCTCCCCCTCCTCCACGTGAACTGGCAATGCTGGGGAACACCCAAAGGTCTATCAAGTGAATATGCACTGTGATGAGTACCAATCAGATGAGCAAGATCATGACTCAACCCTGCAGGCTGAGTTATGAGGGTGTCTGATTACTGCGGTGATGTCAGCTACTCTTCAATGCTAAATTGTTTTTATACCTAGATTATTTCATTTCTATCTATATTGGTCCAGTGGCCAAAGTCACAAAGCGAAACAAATGATGAAGTTGAGATACAGGTTAAGAGAAACTTAAAAATTGTACTAGTTCTGTAAATGTGCCCCCAGATTATTTTCATTAGACCTAGCAGTTGTATTAGATCCATCAGCCTGATCAAAGTTCATATGTAGCAGTCATGAATATCTCCAGTACTTATAAGAGCAGTATAAAAAAGAGAAAATACAGTGATGATTATTTTCAAAATAAAGCAATGGCTTTTCCCTTATTGAGAATAAAGACTATCTGAGAAATGCTTGTAAATAATGAGCTGAAATCTTTTTTCTTGTATCATTATTTAGAAACAAAATGTAAAAATTATCAAAATAAGACAATTGAGGTTTTCAATACCAAAATGAAAGAATTTAATATTGTTGGTCGTGATCAGGTCACAAAATTAGTTTCCTGATCTCTTTTTTTAAGATTTTTATTTATTTATTTATTTATTTATTTATTTGACAGAGAGAGAGGGAACACAAGCGGGGGGTGGGGGCGGTGGGAGAGGGAGAAGCAGGCCCCCCCCACTGAGCAGGACCTTGGGATCATGACCCAACCTTGGGATCATGACCCAAGCTGAAGGCAGACACCTAACGACTGAGCCACCAGGTGCCCCAATTTCTTGATCTTTTTGATGCTGAAGGACATAAAATTTTAATCTACACATTACTCTACATTTGGCCCCCAGCCAAAATATAAATCAGTTTTAGATTTGCTGATAAACTACACTTTTTAGTGTAGTTAGCTTTAGAAAAGTATGTCAATTGTTAAATAAGAACACATTTTAAACTATATGTATGTTCTAAATTTTTAATTTTACATAAGGATAAACTTTATAAAATACTCTTTAAAATTGATACAAAATAAAATATTTAATAAAAGTATTTATCCTATATGTTTATATATGTAATATGAAAAAAATTAAATGATTTTGTAAATTCCTAGCAGGTTTCTAGGTATTATATGGAACTGTGAAAAGAGTTCTTGGGTCAAAAAGTTGAAAATGTTGTCTTAATTGCCTTGGTACTCAAAAGGAAGAGCTTGGGAAATGAAATATTAGCTAACATTTGATATTTTAGGGATAATGTGATAAGTATCTCTTTAAATAAGAGAACTGATTTCATGTTTACACACTGTTAGGGCTTATAATATTAGCAAATGGTATCGTGTAAGCAGTTACATAAGATGTGTTGCTATATATATACTTTTTTTCTGAGGACATCAGAATCACCAAAGAATAGTTCAGATTAAAATGTTTTTCATACTGTAACTCGCTCCAGAAAAAACTTAAGGCAGATATGTCTCCTGAATTAATATAATTAATGACTTGAACATGTAATTCTAAAACAGGAATTCTGGCACTCCTGTTATATTCCTGCTGAAAGCTCAGAGTCTAAATCTAGTCATGAGGAAATATCAGATAAACCTAAACTAGGCATCACTCTAAAAGATAGCTGGCCTGTATTCTTCAGATGTCAGTGTCATGAAAGACAAGGAAAGACTAAGGAACTGTTCCAGAATAAAAGCAATCAGAGGGATGTGAAAATTGGTTGCAACACATGATCTGGAATTTCACAATAGAGAATATTTTTCAGACAACTGGCAAAATATGAACAAGATCAATAAATTAGATATAAAAGTATTGTATTAGTTTTAATTTCCTGAGTTTAATTATTATACTGTGTTTCTGTAACAGAATGTTCTCCTGTCCTTGTTTGGGGGCTTGGAAGGGGAGAGAGGACATGAGTAAATATAACACATTAACTTTTGGAGGGAATCTAAATGAAGAATGGATTTTTTTGTACTACTCTTGCAATACCGTTCTAAGTCTGAAACCATTTTTTTATTTTTTTTAATATATTTATTAATTTTTTTTTGAAACCATTTTTTTAAAACAATATAAAGAAAAGACAAAACAGGAACTCTTAATAAGATTTAGATATGGTAACATATCGTACGTCACTAGTTTTTGATGTAGTGTTCAACAATTCATCAGTTGCGTATAACACCCAGTGCCCTATTCCTCTTATGATCAGGTGGAGAGAGCAGCCTGCTGAAGGGGAATCATACACAGGGTCACTCTCTGATAAAAGTGAGGTGTCACCTACGAGGCAAAGATGCATGATGACAGCACCAACAGCCATCACTGCTAAGCAGAAAGCACTGTTCAGACGGACAAAGAGGTAGGAAGCAGCCACACATCTTCCTCTCTACATTCACAGAGCGTAGCTCAAGAACCAGGTGGCAACACTCCTGGTCACTTATTTGTTCTGCCTACTACATGGCAGAGACATATCAGTATTCCTGTTTTGCAAAATAAAACCAAAACCAAAAAAAAAAAAAAAGTTACTTTGCTCAAGGCCACTCAATGAACATGTTGCAGAGTTCAAAAACTATCCCCAAATTAATTGATCCTCTAGTGTATGACTTTAGGTATCAAGTTTGGCATCACCAATGGAGTTTCTATTCTTCACCCATTTCATGTCTATCTCTCCTTTGTGCTTTATTTAGACTCCCACAGGTCACTGGGAATGCCTGGACAGCTCCTACTCCTGGAATCTTACTAGTGTTTAGAGAATTCCTTCTGCATACTTTTTAGAAGTATAGGCGAGGGTGCCTGGGTGGCTCAGTCAGTTAAGCGTTCTGCCTTCAGCTCAGGTCATGATCCCAGGGTCCTGGGATGGATCCCTGCATCAGGCTCCCTGCTCAACGGGAAGCCTGCTTCTCCCTCTCCCTTTGCGCCTCCCTGGCTTGTGCTCTCTCTTGCTCACTCTCTCTCTCTCAAATAAATAAATAAAATCTTAAAAAAAAAAATAGAAGTACAGGGAAACACACCACCATCATACACTGTTTGCTACTGGATTAAATATGAAAGGACAGGAACAGTTGGGGTAGTTTTTCCATTCTTCAAAGAGTGAAAGAAGAACAAGTCACAATTATTTATAAGATTGACAAAAAGAGTCTCAAAGAACCAGAGGACCTTGGTAACAAAAACATTCCACCTATGGTCCTCCAGGAATTCTTCCTATACCAGGTGTCTCCAGTAAAAATAATAAGAAAACATATACATCTGGGCTATCTAAAACTGTCATTTTTCAAAGATCTCATCACTAGGCTGTAAATGAAGAAATTAGATTTGTTCTCAAACTTGGGGAGAATGAACCCTTTGGGTTTCCTTTTCTAAAGTGGTTAAATATTCAATAACTCTGTTACATACCAAAGAGACAGAGCGTTTGGTTCTAAAGCACAGTTGCTGTTCAAAGGACTCTGAAAATGCTTGAATTTTGGAACGGGAGCTTCCTTTTGATTCCAGTGGCTCCTTGAATGACTCATCCACTGAGCATTTTCTGAAATCCAGCATGTGGGTATGGCATCGAAATCCTTGGTCCTCATGAGAATGCCTTCTGGGATGGCTGACAGACGATGTGATTCTGGGAAGCACAGGAAACTGGGAATACAGAATAAAAATTTTTGCAGGCGCCTGGGTGGCTCAGTCGTTACACGTCTGCCTTCGGCTCAGGTCATGGTCTCAGGGTCCTGGGATCGAGTCCCACATCAGGCTCCCTGCTCAGCAGGAAGCCTGCTTCTCCCTCTCCCACTCCCCCTGCTTGTGTTCCCTCTCTCGCTATGTCTCTCTCTGTCAAATAAATAAATAAATAATCTTTAAAAAAAAATTGTTTTTGCAATATAAAGAGATGGTACAATGTTAGCACAGGGACAGAATATCCATAAATTACCAACTAAACAAATCTCATGTTAAACTGAAATTTTATCTTTTTGATCAGTAGGGCCTTCCTCCTACAATGAAGTAGAATCAATTAGTTAAAACATTAAGTAGAACATCCCAAGTCTAGCTTTGTTTATCCTTTACCATGAGGGTAGAATAATGAAGCATTCCAAGCCTTAAACTGATATGTAAAAAGAATTTCCAAAATTAAGAAAAAAAAAATTTAATGAAGTCATAAATGTTTAAGAAATAATACAGCGGTGAATAGTTATATGATTTCTATATGGAGAAAGAATTTCTAAGCAAAAGAACAATGGGAAAAGTCATAGGAAATATTAATTTAATTACATAAAAATAATGTGCATCACAAGCAATATAAACAAAATTAATGGTAGATTTAAAAACTTAAAAAATATTTGCTGCATGTCAGTAATGTTTAATAGATATCCTGAAAATAAATAAGTATATCTCACATGCATACAGGGAAACACAGAGGTCATATAATACAATAACATCAATGTTAAAATCACAATTGGTCTTTGGGTGCCTGGGTGGCTCAGATGGTTAAGCATCTGCCTTCAGCTCAGGTCATGATCCCAGAGTCCTGGGATCGAGTCCCACATCGGGCTCCCTGCTCAGCGGGGAGCCTGCCTCTCTCTCTCTCTCGGTCTCTTATGAATAAATAAATAAAATCTTTAAAAAAAATGTTAAAATCACAATTGGAAAATAATCAAAGGACAGACAGCTCAGAGAAGGCAATTTTTGAAAGATATGTTCTCTCAATTTTTCTCACTTTCCAACCCACTCCAATCCAGCTTTTGCATGCAACACTGATTTTGGTCAGGATATTGATCTCAATGTTGCCAAATTCTGTGCACTTTTGGTCTTTAATCATTCTGTAGCATTCAATCCAGTAGCCCGTGTGCCCCCCCACCCCCAGAAACAATCTTTCCTTGTCTTCTACCACTGCACCCTCAAGGGTGATCATTCTGCCACGGTGTTTTAGACATTTTTGCTCACTTCTCCTTCTAGCTGCTCATAACTTTTGGAGTTCCTCCAGGTTCTAAACTAGTCTTCCTTCCCTTCCTTTCCTTACTCACATTACACTGTCTCCCTAAATATCTCATCCTCAGGCTTCAATTTCTAGCTATCACCTGATTTTCTAATTTATGTTGTTAGCCCAGACATCTCCTCTGAGTTTCTGCCCCCTCAAGTTCCCTCTGGCGAAGTATCCCACTGGCACTCACCCTGACTTGGGCAAATCTGACTTCATCACCTCTCCTCCCCAAACCTGCTCCTCACGTGTCCCCTAACTTGGAAGATGGTATCACCATTCACTCAGTTACTCAGACCCGTAACTCAGGAGCTACTCTTCACATTCTCTTGCCAAGTCAGTAGATTCCATCTCTCCAATGTCTCTCAAAAACTATCCATGCTTTCCCAGCATCACTGTTACTACCGTAATCCAAGCCACCCAGATTATAGAAGCAGCCTCCCCATGGTGGACATCCTATATCCACTCTTACCCATTTATTTTGTCGTTCCCAGAGCAGCCAGAGTAGTCAGGACACCAACCAAGTCACATCTGATCACCTTTTATTTTGTACCTCATCTTGCACCACCCACACTTTCATGGACGGCCTCACTGGTTAGTCACTTTCTCCAGCTCACTTGCTCCTACCCAACACAAGGGGGTCCTCTCTGCTCATGACTGCGCACCACCCCACCTCACTACCCCAGGACATGGTTAATCATACTTCAGTCATTCTGCACTTTCACAGAAACCCTTCCCTACCACCCTGGGTGATTCGGGTCCCAGTCTGATGCCCTGCTGGGGTCTCATACTTCTCCTTTATGATACTTATCACAACCATAATCAATATTTTGGGTGATTTTGTTACATATCTCTCCTCCATTAGACTATATGCCCCATCACATCAAGGGCTATGTTTCATTCTCTGCTAGAATCCCAGTATCCAGCGCTTTGCCCTATTCACAACATGAGTTCATTAAATATATACTAGATGAGGGGCACCTCAGTCAGAAGAGTATGTGACTCTTGAGCTCCAAGTTGTGAGTTTGAGCCCCACGTCAGGTGTAGAGATTACTAAAAAATAAAATCTTTTTTTTTTTTAGATTTTTATTTATTTATTTGACAGAGACACAGCGAGAGAGGGAACATAAGCAGGGGGAGTGGGAGAGGGAGAAGCAGGCTTCCTGCAGAGTGGGGAGCCCAATGCGGGGCTCAATCCCAGGACCTTGGGATCATGACCTGAGCCGAAGGCAGACGCTTAACAACTGAGCCACCCAGGTGCCCCCCAAATAAAATCTTAATTAAAAAATTTTTATATGTAAGATGAATAAATGTAAAAGAAAAAAATACCAGCTGGTAAAAAATGTTGATGCTTACTAGTAGCCAAAAACTATGGAAAATGAAATAATATACAATTTTGTCTTTCAGGTATCAAAAAAAATGTTATTTAATGGTACCAACACTGGCAAGAGTGCAGGGAGATAGGCACTTGTCTTCCTTGCTGGTAGGACTAAAAATATGTACATCCTTCCTAGAAAGCTGTTGGCAATGTGTGTCAGAGGGTTTAAAATATTCCCCTCCTTGGATCCATCCATTGCATGTTATAATTTGCTGAATTGTGTCCCCCTACCCCAAACTCATATATTGAAGTCTTATGTGAGTACATCGGATTATGACTATATTTGGAGATAGGGCCTCTAACAATTAAGTTAAAATGAGACCATTATGGTGGGTTCTACTCCATTCTGACTGGTGCCCTTATAAGAAAAAGAAATTTGGATACACAGAGAGACACCAGGGATATGCTTACACAGAGGAAGAACCATGTGAGGACCAGCAAGAAGGTGGCCATCTGTAAGCCAAGGAGAGAGGCCTTGGAAGAAACCAAACCTGTTGACACCTTTATCTCAGACTTCTAACCTCCAGAACTGTGAGAAAATAAATTTCTGCCCTAAATCACCCAGTCTGTGGTATTTTGTTATGGCAGTCTGAGCAAACTAACACACATATCTAGAAATTTTCTCTCAAACAATAATCAAAAATATGGTTAAAGATTTGTAAAGCTACTAAAAGATAGGAGGTAAATTTGTATATATTATTCCATTTATTATAGGTAAGACATGGTACTGGGTGCTTTGGATAAATTGGGGAACCAAACAGGCACAGTGTCCCCCTCTTGGGGATTATTTTGGGAGATGGAATTTATTTATTTATTTTTAAAGATTTTATTTATTTGACAGAGAGAGACACAGTGAGAGAGGGAACACAAGCAGGGGGGAGTGGGAGAGGGAGAAGCAGGCTTCCTGCTGAGCAGGGAGCCCGATGCGGAGCTCAATCCCAGGACCCTGGGACCATGACCTGAGCTGAAGGCAGACGCTTAACGACTGAGCCACCCAGGCACCCTGGGAGATGGAATTTAAACAAACAGGGCATATGCCTACAGCCTTGACCAAATGCTATAAAGGGAAAGTTCAAGGTGCACAGAGAGGATATAACAAGGTAAAATCATGTATGTTCAGGTGGGTGTTGGAGTGGCTAGGAGGATCAGGGAAGACTTTTGTGAAGATGTGATGATAAAGATACAATCTGAAGGATAAGCAGGGTTAATTAGGGAACAGGGAACAGTTTTCTGCCTCAGGATGAGCCCCATATGTTCAGAGGCCCTGCCACAGAAGAGCTTGCTGGAGTGGAAGGAAAAGAAACCTATTGAGTGTGAGCATCTGGGAGAAGGGAGTGGTGGGGAGGGCTTGAAGTAGGGTAGTATCATAAGATGGGCAATCTTAAAACATACCCAAATGTTTTGAAAGGTTTTCTTTGTGCTGTGGGATTGGTTTTTTAGTATTTTCCAAGTTTTCTGCAGTGATGGTGTATTATATTATCAGAAAAAAAATGATACTTTCAAAATTTGAGACTGAGACACAGGACAGATACTGAATGACTGCACTTACTTGAGGTATCTAAAATCGTCAATCCCATAGAAGCAAGAAATAGAATAGGGGTTGCCAGAGCCTGAGAAAATGGGGAAATGGGACGTGGCTAATCAATGGGTATAATATTCCAGTTATGCAGGATGAGTGAGCTCTAGAGATGTACGGTACAGCATTGTGCTTCTCATTAGCTGGATTGCACACTTAAAAATCTGCCGAGAGGGTAGATCTCATGTTAAGTGTTCTTACCACAATAAAACTTTAAAAATGAAATTTAAAAATTTGAGGCTGGGAATGAAATGAGGTTGTTTATACAAACGTTCTCTTCCATTGAGAGGCCTAAAAAGAACAGCAAATGTTTTATCACAACATAAATGGAGTATATACTTAATATCTCCTATCAGATAGGTCTTTTGGTTCCTTTGTTGTGTTGTGTGACTTTGTGGGAAACAGGCTTAAAAGAGCTCTCTCACTGATTACAGGGAGAAGTTCCCATTTTTAAATATGTGTATGTACCACGCAAGCTCTACTTTTTGGATTTTATATGCCCTTCCAATGTAATTTTCCTGGCAAAGACATGAAATAGTGCCCTACATGCATGGCTTGCTTTGACCAAGTATGCCCTTGTCACCCCACAGCCACAGACTAGGCTTATAGCTCTCTCTCCCACACTGTGAGGCAGGGTCTGGCCCATGGAATGGGATCCCTTCACTCTGAGCTCAGCAGCTGGGGTCCCAGACGGCAAAGCAACAAAGACAAAGCGTGCTGCCCGTGCTGCCTTCAGAGCATAACGACCCAGTTCCCTGACCTGCAGTACAGAAGAGTGTGCCCAGCACCACAGCTGTTTCCACTATGACCCCAGAAGACAATTCCTATCGAAGAAAAAACCCTAGGCACTCTCTGACCCAAGGCATAGAAGAAATTAGTGTGGGGTGGGGGCGGGTGGGGGCGCCTGGGTGGCTCAGTCCTTAAGTGTCTGCCTTCGGCTCAGGTCATGATCTCGGGGTCCTGGGATCGAGCCCCGCATCGGGCTCCCTGCTCTGCCGGGAGTCTGCTTCTCCCTCTCCCACTCCCCCTGCTTGTGTTCCCTCTCTCGCTGTGTCTCTCTCTGTCAAATAAATAAATAAAATCTTTAAAAAACAAACAAACAAACAAACCAGAAACCACATTCAAATGGGAAAGGAAGGGAAAGCTCTTCTCTTCCTAAGCATGTAATATGGACAGATATAGGTTATTAATAGGTTATGAGAGGGAAGAGCCTTAGATAGGAGCAGTGGGGAGAGAGAAAAAGAGACAAGGCTAAGAGTAAGCTTTTCTTTTTAAGTTATTGATTGAGCTCAAAGCAAAACACACACACACAAAATGAAAACCTAATTGTTCTCTGATCTCTAAAGTAAGAAAAATCTGAGCACATTTTAGAGTTAGAAAAGTTAACTATCCAACACAAGCTCTTGTCATAAATATATGGCGTTCTGTGACTGGAACTGGACATTCAGACCCCTGACTATTTCCCAGGATCTGACCACGTCACCCTGGGTCCCCTGCTCTATGTTCTGCCCTTGCACTCTCTACCCTATTCGGTCAGGTGCTCATTTTTATTCCATGCTTTGTCTCCTTAAATAAACACATACTTTTGCATATAGTCTGATAATTTTGGAATTCACTGTTGACTTAGAGAATCTAAACAGGTTAATTCAGGCAAATGTCTGAAGCTAGTATGAGCAGGAAGAGATATACGGACACTGTTTACAAATGCCCCATATAACAAATTCTGCTTAGTCCTAATAGTTTCAGGCAAACAACATTGCAACCTAAAACGGGATTCCTTAGTGGATTATCTCAGTTTTAAAGGTCTAATAGATGCTAAAATTTATTCAACAAAACTGTATTTTATAAGTCATTTGTTTTTATTTCATATTTTGTTTTCATATTTTCAACAGTACTAAAGGGCCGTTGAGATAAATAGCAAATCACAGTTTTTCTCTTTGTTTCTTCTTGGTTCTAGCTATCTGGAAACTGGAAACTAATTGTACTTCGGGTTCACACATTGTGAACACCTCACTTGAAGTGGAACATAAGAGATTAAAATGAGAGTGTGATAAACAGGTGTTGATTTATAACAGAATCATGGACAGTTAGAGCTAGAAGAGTTCCCAGAGATCATCCTGTCCAGCCTCTCTTCTTTTTTACATAAGGAACCTGAAGCTCAAAGAGCTGTTGAAACTTGCCCTTTGTCCCTGAGTATGCATTTGGTAAGAAATCTACTTTCAAATATTTGTGTCTTAAAGAGGTCTCATTCCTCAAATTTGCTGGTCACGGGGAGTAAAAGAGATTGCCATACCCACCGTAATATCCCTCATAGGCATTATGCATCTGGGAACTCTGAGGCTAAAACTGAAATAAAATAACATTGCCCCAAAACGTACATGATTCTGGGGTTGACAGAAGCAAGTTGGGGAGGTATTCTCTATAGCTAGAATCCTAAGTGACCTGCAAAAAAGAAAAGCTATATTCTTGCTGTGTAACTGTGAAGCAGAGGATGCAGGTCTCTGCTGCAGAGTCTTCTAGCCGTGCAGTTGAGTGGAGAGAACCGCTGCCTGCACCTGCCGCTGAGTCCTCACCCGGTCAGGCCCACCCGTTCTGCTATCAGGAGCTTTCTCCTGCTTCCATCTTGCTCCCTAGACACTGGGTGCTCTGCTGCCCTATGGAAAAGTAGTGCTGAGGGCAGAAAAATTTGGGTTCCCTCTCCCCTCGGGAAACCAAAGGGGAACCAGAAGAAAACGTGTATCAAATTTATCAAAGGTAGTGATTTATGATGTGGAATCCCCAATTCTTTAGAGGTCATCAAATCACGGAGCTATTTTCAGTATTTCAAAAAGAGTAGTGGAAATCACACATTGATCCATGCCTGATGCTACACAGACTAATTTATAACATCAAGTTTCTTTCCTTTGGCTGGAATCATATTAATCCTCAGGAGGATTGTCTCAGGTTTATCAGGAGCTCTGAACAGTAGTTAAAGATATCTTAGGCTACTAAAAATGAAGAAATCTTCACCTAATAAACGAAAATCAGGTCCCCTGGAGGACAAGATAAAATAATAAAAGGGACTTTTGTGGGTATAAAAGGTTTAGAAGTACTGATTTTTAACCAGAAAAGATTTTATACCAAAGGCCTCTTCAAAAATTATCTAATAGAAATTCCCCTCCCCTAGTCCAGCTCTCCCCTGGTTCTCTGATCATAACTCACTGGGCAGGGCAGGGAGGTTTTCCTGTAAGTGGCATCTTGTGATCTGTGGCGGTCCCGGAGTCCTCTCTCATTCTCTTCTGTCCAGCTGTGACCCCAGAAGCTGCTCATCCATTTGGCGAAAGACACATCATCATCATCATCATCATCAACTTTGTGCTCCATGCGTAGGTGATTCAAATTCTCGAAGGCCTGTCCCTAAATTTGAGAGAGAGAAATATCATCCAACAGGGCTGACCTGATGAAACCCAGGATCTCCCCCAAAAGACAAAATGAAACTGGTATTTTCAAATGCTCTCCGATAATGGGATCCTTAAGGGAGAAAGATTTACTAAACAACCATTTCATCATCAGGCAGCCTCGGGGAGTGTCTATTTATAAATTGTGCATCCCACATTCCCTCCCCTCCCCCTGTCTTTTTAAAATTGAGGCTTTGTAATCCTTCCATTGCTGGGGCTTGTGTCTCCGAGCCTAAGGGTGGGAAGCACAGTCCACTGCCTGGTTTTCCCTGTGCTCTGCTGCTGATACATGTGATGGCAATTCCAGCTGTCAATGAGGATGGAGCATGACCCTTATAATATGCCTGTCAGCTCCAGGCTAGCTCTGAAATGGGGCCACTTACAAGGGACAGACTGACTACAGCCTGCAAGATGGCCAGCTATTGGCCTGCTATATCTACTGCCAGATATACTCCTAATACATAAAATTGATACTGATACAAAAATCCAGCTCCTGGGTTTAAGGGAACAGGTTTTGTTATTGATGTATTATTTATATCTGTATCAATCGTACATGTATATTGTACAAACCTTAAGTGTATAGTTTGATGAATTTTTACATACATGTACCCGCACATAACCACACCATAAAACATCTTCAGCACCCCAGCTGGCTCCCTTTTTCCTTCTTCCAATCCATCCTCCCTCCAAAAGGTTATGACTTCTTTTTTTTTTTTTTTTAAAGATTTTATTTATTTAAGGAGAGCGAGAGAGAGAGAAACAGCATGAGAGAGGAGAGGGTCAGAGGGAGAAGCAGGCTCCCTGCTGAGCCGGGAGCCCGATGTGGGACTCGATCCCAGGACACTGGGATCATGACCTGAGCCGAAGGCAGTCGCTTAACCAACTGAGCCACCCAGGTGCCCCAAAAGGTTATGACTTCTGACCGCTATCGCTACAGATTAATTTTGCCTGTTTTTGAACTTTCTTTCAATGGAATTATACAGAATGTATTATTTTGTGTCATTCAACATTATGTTGGTAAGATTTATCCATATTTTTGTGCTAATGGTAGTTCATGCTTTATAGTAGTACACTGTATGACTATCCCACATTTAAAAAAATCCCTCTCTCACTGTTGGAAAATAAATGAAATCTTAAAATAAATAAATAAATAAAATAAATTCAGTCTACTACTGATGGTCATTTGGGACTATCATTTGCGCTGTTTCCAGGTGAGGTGTTATAAATAGAACTTCTGTGAACATGATAGTCCTTGTTTTTTAGTAGGCCTTTTTTTTTTTTGAGATAACAGGACTAATAAATTTATTAAGCCCCTCCTTTGTGCCAGGTATGAAGTCAAATATTTTACGTATGCTATTTTCATTATAACAGCACTGTGACTGGGAGATTTGTCTCACATTTTATAGATAAGGACATTGAGATTCAAATAGATCATCACTTGCCTGAGATGAAATTACTACTAAGCAGCACAGCCAAGTCTGAAGCAAGGAGTAGAATAATGAAGTCCAGACTCTTCCACCATTCCACCAGTATTCCAAGAAACCTTTGATAAAGCTTGCATTCTTAGACAGAGTTATTCCTGACTGTTTTCTATATGAAAACTCTTCCTTGAGCTACAAAAAGACAGGCTTAATAATTGTGACCAGTGTTCCTAGAGCATGGCACCACAATTTCTAAGTTACTAAGGAAAAGTAACCAAAGCATAAAATAGCTTGCAACATTTTTATTTCTTGTTTTAAATAGTGAGAGATGCAGGCTTGTTACTTTGTAATACTTTTATTACAGAATGCAGAAAGCCTGCTTCTCAATGACCCAGATGAGAAAGGAAAAGTTATAACTATAACCATATGCCACCACTATTGATTGTCTCTGTTATTAAAGAAAGAAAGGTAACCTCTCTTGGGGAAGCAGGACCAGGTATGTCCACAAAACTTAACTACAGATAAACCTCTTCTTTTCTATTCCTCTTAAAACAGAAATGTCTTTTCTTCCAATTTCAGAAACAAAAATAAATAAATCTATAATCAGGGGATGGAAAAACCAGAACAGGTCATACCTAATTATTGCTTAGAAGTATTTTGAAGAAAAGAAATACGACTTTATTTTAAAACTTCTTTGAGGGGCGCCTGGGTGGCTCAGTCATTAAGCGTCTGCCTTCAGCTCAGGTCATGATCCCAGGGTCCCGGGATCGAGCCCCGCATCGGGCTCTCTGCTCAGTGGGGATCCTGCTTCTCCCTCTCCCACTCCCCCTTCCTGTGTTCCCTCTCTCTCTGTCTCTATCAAATAAATAAATAAAATCTTTAAAAAAATTAAAAAAATAAAACCTCTTTGAGTGACACCTATCTCTTGGAATTCTGAACCCTTCTTTTAAGGCCTTATAGACAGAAGCAATTTAAATATTGGAAAATGTGTATATATAAATATGGATATTTATTATGAGGAATTGGCTCATGTAATTATAGAGACTGATAAACTTCACAATCTGCCATCTGCAAGCTAGAGACCCAGAAAAGCCAGTGGTGTAATTTAGTCCAAGTGTAAAGGCCTGATAACCAGGGGAGCCAATGGTGTAAATCCCAGTCCAAGGGCAGAAAAAGTTGAGATGAGATATTCCAGCTTATGAAATGAGGAGAAAAAAAGAGCAAATTCCTCCTTCTGTCTTTTGTTCTATTTAGACCCTCAACTGATTGGATGAGGTCCGCCACACTGGGGAAGACAATCTACTTTATTGAGTCCATAATTTCAAATGCTAATTTCATCTAGAAGACACATCCAGAAATAGTGTTTAATCTGGGCACTCCATAAAACTGACATGTAAAAATTAACCATCACAGGCACTAATCCCATTCATGAAGGCTCCACCCTCTCATCTATTTACCACCCAAAGTTTCTACCTCCAAACCATCATATTGGGGATTAGGCTTCAACATATGAATTTTGTAGAATCACAACGTCCAGTCCATAGCAGGGTACCACATAAACAGCACCCAGTAAAAACCGGGGGCACTAAGTCTCTAATGAGCATGCAGACAACATTTCACACATGTTGCCAAAACTCATTACTGGAAGAATTAAGCACATCCTATAAGACTTCAATGGGCAAAGAAAAAATAACAAAAGAAACCTTTTGGAAGCTTGTGCCTGGCTTTCTTCAGACTTTACCCAATATGCCTTTCCCCTTTTTGGATTTTGCTCTGTATCCTTTCAGTGTAATAAATCTTATCCATAACTATAACTATATGATGTGGATTCTTTTAGCAAATCCTTAAACTGGGGGTGACAGTTGGTGTCGGAAGTGGGATTTATTAACAACAACCCTGACTCATTGAAATATAGCTAAAACAGGGCTTGGAGAAAGGAAGTATGAAGGGGATATAATTATGAACCTTCACATCCCATGGCTACCTAGTCATCTGTGGTATGAAACAGCAGCTGAGATGATGTCTGTTCTGGAAGGTGAAGGTTACCTATGGAATTTGAAAATGATAGGTCCAACCCTAGAAGAATTGGATCCATTGGTCGCTTTTGGCCATGGTAGCTAAGGTGAAGGAATTAAAAAGTACAGTCTGGGTGATGTCTTTAGGTTTTGTTCTCCCCCTCAGGTGGGAAGAGAAAGGGTCCAAACACTCCCAAAAAACATTTCAGGTGAGCCAAAATGTTGTATGTTTGTATTGCTCACTCCTCCAAGTGGGAGGAAATAAGATTAAGTCAATTCCAAGGCTGGCACAAACTTTAGACAAATCAGAAAAAAAGAAGGGGGAAAAAAACCATTCTACCGACTGGTGCAGCAGCCTGCTGCATTCCAGCTGGGATCTCTCAATAGTGCTAATTTTAATCCTGGAAGTGTTGAATTTACTGCTAAGGTTTGAGTAAACTTGCAAAAAAAAAAAAAAAGTGAGAGAGAGAGGGAGAGACTTCCTAAAATGGCTTTTTATTTTGTAGCTATTGCTTCTGGGTATATGATTTTAAAAAATAGTGTAAAGTATCATATGCCTGTAATTTCATAAATGCTAAAGGGATTATTCCAATCTGGGAAAGCTGCCCAATAAAAGGTGTTAGTAGAACAGGACTTCTTCCTTGGATGGATTAAAATTTAAAATCTTTGAACATCTGAGTATTGAAATCTTCATAACTGATTATTGTTCCCATGATTTTTGCCTGTTGGAGCCTATGAGAAAAGGCAGACAACATAAAAGGAGAAATAATCTTTTTGAGTTTTAAAAAGCAGTTTTTAGTTTGATAATAAGTTTCTGTAAAATCAGATGTCTGACTCTTAGAGGCTGATGATTTTCTAGACTAATTGTGCATATATTTGAGCAGGTCAATTTGGATTCTAAGACTGACAAGATAAGAGGGGCTTAGAAGAACTTGGAACTCCACTGTCTGACCCTGTAGTCTTTCATCTTTGCTGCTGCCAAAGAAGAAAAGTCACTGGCTTTTTTGGAATCCTGAATTCAGAGAACCTAATTGCCTGGATCTGATGGTAGGCTGAAACCTAATAACATCTGTAACAGACTATTTCAATCTTGGACAACAGACATAGACTCAATGAACAGAACTGAGACGCTGGGACTACTACAGACTTAAGACACCCTTCCGTGGGGCCATAAGCTATAAAAATATCATGGATGCTGGCTGGACCACATGGCTCACCTGCGGACGCCCACAGAAAAGGGCTCATTCTCTGATGAGACCATCTGAAACCAAGCTGCAGGTGGCTGTATATTTCTAATGAGGGACTAACTGCATTTGAGATGAATGATCACAAGGAACCTAACCTGTGATTCCTGTTGCAAGCTGTAAGATGGAAGAGAGCACAGCATGGAGAGTAAGACCTCTCCACCCACTCCCAACAGAGGGGACTCTCAACCCCTGCTCAGGAATGTCTCACTGCTATTGACTTATGTCTGACTTTCAACATTATTTGAAATTTGCAACAATAGACTGATAGCCTGATTC